CAGAGCCATAATGTAAATGGAAGAGAAGTCTGTCTTCCCTGAGTTCAAAATAAACACAGCAAAGCCAAGTCTCACTCCCTCACTCATACCCCCACTGGGGAGTGAACAGCCTCTACAAGCACAGAGGCTCAAGGCAATGCAAGCCTTAGCAAAGGTGAGATGCCCTGGGGTTGGGTGGTTATTCCAGATGGTACCTTTGTATCAGTGCTGCCCTCTCCTTCCAGCTGATCCCTGAAATTCCACCTTTCCAGTTTCATTGTAGCTCAGGGTTTCTTCTACAGTTTAAAAACTAACACTTTGGACTTAGTGATTGTTTATATTTTAGCATGAATGAATTGATGAGATTAATTCTTGTTTTGTTAAAGAAGAAGGGCAGAGTACATTAGGGCACTCTGGTATCTATGGGCAAAGGAAGGAAGCCCCATCAGATGAGTACTGGGCGTGGCAGAGTGGAGCATGGCTCAGGGCTGCCCCAGGGAAGAGATGGGAAATGCATCTTTTTGAAAGTCTCTCCTCTAGTCCTAATGCTCTTCTGTGCTTTTCTTGGGAAAATAGTGGTACACTTATGTAGACAGTGTCTGAACCACAGTTGATGCTAAATAAATGCTTATTGAATGAATAAATGACTTAAAGTAGACACTAACCTACACTAACCAGCTCTCCCCTAACCTCTTGCTTTGGTTTCAAGCAATAGTCATAATTGGAGACCCACAATGTGGGAGAACATGAGAGATAATCCAAGCTACAGCCCGGAGGGCCTAACCCTCCAGTTTCAGGTGCCTTAACATCCACAAGGCTACTGAGGACAAGCACTGTGCTGAGTGATTTACAAAATCCACATCCTTATTCCACCCACCAGCTTGAAGAGGTAACTATTTCACTATCATGACCATTTCACAGATGAGAAGCCTAAGACTTGGGTTGCACAAGGGCTCACAGACAGTAAGGGGTAGAGACATAATTTTAATCTGGTTCTGACAGAACCTAAGGCCTGCCCTGCTAACCACAAGGCTATACTGCCTCTATTGCTGTTGCAGAAGTGAAAATATGCTACCATGTGTATTATTATTATGCTTCCTTCGACTATTATCACAATTTGGAAAGGTCCTAGACATAATTTTGTAGATCCTCATGGGAAATTATTGGAAACCAATGATTTTCAAATCAGGAGTATATTTGCCAGCAGTAATTTCCACACACATTTGAATATACTTGTATCTGCAGATTTTAATTTTCAAAAATATTCTCAAAGCTACATATATTCTCAAAGGTGCATGTACTGGTATGTGTGTATGGTGCACATGTGTATTGCTGTGTGCATGTGAAAGAGGGAGGCAAGAACAGAGAGAGCAAACGTTGTGCCTTTGGGGACTGTGCGTGTCTCATCTTTGACATCACCTTCTTTACGATGAACTTTCACAGGCACTTAGAGAATCATGGGGCACTACGACGAGCTGATGGACAATGTGCGTGGATGTTATCCTGGTTGATCTTTGGCTCCTCTCTGTCCTGACCTACAGGAGCCACCTGTTGCTCCAGACCACCTCTCCCATGTCCACCTGCCCTGCAGACAGGCACACATTTGCTCCATCTCCCAGGGAAGCAGACATGCCTCTTCAAATGCTGCTTGTCCTCCAAGGCCCAGCTCTATGTAAGTTGTATGATTTTCAGACAAATCACTCAATCTCTTTGTCCTTAGTTTTTTTCCATTTGTAAAGAGAGGCTAATAATAGTCAAAGCATCTACATCAAAGATAAACAATATTGAATGTGATGTTATGTTAGATGCTGTTCCAGGTGGTCAGTTGAATTAAAACATATTTTGTTTTGTGTAATGAAAACATATCCAGTGAATTAAAGAAATAGTTATCATAAATGTTAATAATAAATGTTAATTATAATATAATTGTTTATAATAGGACTAATCTTATAGTGTGGTGTTTCTCAAACTCTTTTTCCTTGCGCCCCAAGGAGCCTTTTGCCTCCCCTTAAACTGAAGGTAATGTAGATGTACATCACACCTGTTTAAGTACTGTGTTCCTTTGGAGGGCCACAAACCACTGTAATAGCTATTTTTTTTTCACGTGCCACCCCTTCCCCCTCAAAGGTACATCTAAAGTTATATTTTTAAAAACATCTTAATTTAGAACCATCTCTATTTTGAAAATAAAATGTACTTTAGATGTATCTTTGAGTGGCACAGTCTTCTGAATTTATGAACTTAAGGATTACATTGCACTTGTGGCAGTTATAGAAAATAAGTAAAATGTTTGTGAGCTTAGCATTCATTTGTTCCTTCCTTCCTTCCTTCCTTCCTTCCTTCCTTCCTTCCTTCCTTCCTTCCTTCCTTCTTTCCTTCCTCCATGCAATGTGTACTGAATATAACTCAGAAGTATGCCCCTTCCTAAGCACTCCCAGGATAATTTATTAGCTCTGCCTCTGAGGAAGTGCTATACGATTTTTTTCAATGTAAAGTCTTTACCATTTATTACAATCCTGCTGTAGACAAAATGCTGAACACGCTGGCTTGGGTGTTTTCCGTATTTTGAAAATAGGTGCTGAAAGAAGCATAGAAAAGACTAAGCACCATTCCTGCCCTCCAGATGTTTATAGTCCAGAGGAATTACCCCGGGTCACAGGCTTAGCACTGACATCTAGCAACTTTCAAGAAGT